AAAAAAAAAAAAAAAAAAGTTTACGAATGACTACACAACAAAGTAAATGCTGCAATTCTCGTAGGTCTGAGGCTCTTGGCTATTTCATATTTCAGCTTACAAGCCAGGTGGCAGAAAGGGATTGTAGACTAGGGCACTGTATGAAGGGGCCCGAGGATGACAGAAAATGTTAAGGGGAAAAGACAAATAAAGGCTTGTCGTGGGTAAATTAAAGAAACGCATGAATATGAGCACAGGGCAGGCAGAGAGAACAAAACGCGAATAGTAAGAAGCGGAATGAATGAAAAATTGGACTGGACCCCAACGATTCCAAGAGAAGATAAAGCTGTCTCACTCACTTTTGCCGCAGACTCTCCTCCCTCTCCTTGTCGAGAAGGCTAGGCCACGGCTTGTCGCTCCCATAGGGGCGCGAGTAGGTGACATAGTAGGCGGACGAGACAGAAGCGAAGGGGGTGCCGCGCAGTGCTGAGGGCCGTTCTCGAGACCGCGATCGCGAGCGGGAGCGGTAGGACTGCTTTCGGGTGCTTTGGCCGAACCCACCCAGCTGATGGCCGAGGCCATTCCTGTCCACGGACCGAGAGCAAGAGTGCGAATGCGAGTGCGAGTGCGAGTGCGAGTGCGAGTGCAAGTGCGAGTGCGATCGCGAGCGCGAACGCGAACGCGAGCGGCGGCCCCGCGGGGAGCGAACAGATTTACTGAGCTTGGGACTCCTTGACGAACTGCGGCGTCTTCCACTGCAGCCCAAGGCCTCCCCCTCCGGACTGCGCGAGCCGGATACCGGAGCCATTGCGACTCCCTGGGAGAACCGGGGTCTCTCCCCAAACTGTGATAATCTCAGTTGCCTTGGCGCCTAGATCCAACCGCCGCGCAACCGCTCCAACCCGGAGGGAAACCTAGAGAATAGTTCCGGGTACGTCGCCAAATCCGTTCCCCGGAGCTAGGCGGTGCTCGCCAACGGAAAGCGATGTGTGTATCGGTCTGAATAAGCCGGTGGGGCAAACGGGTTCTCACATCTTGCTGGTTCCGAGTGAGGCCCTTAAAGACTAACCTGGAGGGTGGTGCCTGTGGCTTAAAGGAGTAGAGCGCCAACCCCATACGCCGGAGGTGACGGGTTCAAACCCAGCCCCACCCAAAAGCTGCAAAACAAACAAACAACAACAACAACAACAAAAAAAAAAACAAAAAAAACTAACCTGGAAAAGCAATTGCGTCCTTTTTCAGCCTCCTTGAAATACAAGAGGGGAAGGATGACAAAACAACAGGATGCATTTCACTGAGGGGCTTGTTTGAACAGAGTTAATTCCGATTGTGTTTCTGTGTGTAATTATACATATGTGTGTGTGTGTTATTTACAGAAGTATGAATTATGTATAACTTCTTTTTCTTTCCAATCCCAAGCCATCCCAGGAATTTATCATGATTGGTAGTGAGCTATGATGTCTAAGCCCCATATTGCTTAGTTAGCTTAGAGGGCACAGATTATTTATTTATGTGTTTGTTTGTTGAGGCAGAGTCTCTGTTGCCTAGGCGAGAGTACCGTGGAGTCCATCTTGCTCACAGCAACCTCAGACTTCTGGGTTCCAGCGATCCCACTGCTTCCGTCTCTTTTTTTTTTTTAATTTTTTTTTTTTTGAGACAGAGCCTCAAGCTATCCCCCTGGGTACAGTGCCGTGGCTTCACAGCTCACAGCAACCTCCAACTCCTGGGCTCAAGCGAGTCTCCTGCCTCCGCCTCCCAAGTAGCTG